GCATGACTTTTAAATACCAAAATAAATACCTATAATAAGTGATAACTTTAAACAACGTAACTTTGTTAACGAATCTAGTATATTATTCTTTTTACTCTTACACATGTTGGATATAAACTAATTTGGCGAAGAAAGGAGGTCAAAGAAGTCAGATTACCTGATATTAATAAACAACGAGGGCTTGCAATCACAACCACATTTAAAGATAAGAGAAAGAGAGGCGACAATGAGAAGGGGAAGGCGAGAGAGGCAGGAGAGAGATTAAAAAAAGAGAGGAAAGTAGAAAAGTAACGTGCGAATGGGTGAAGAGGTAGGGAGGGAAGAGAAATGTACTGGAAAAAAAAGTGATTGAGGGGAATAATCCGAGTTTGGCTTAAATTGTTAAAAATAAAGTTCCCTATATGACGTTATTATCCTGGCCTTATGTGCATCTTTATGCATCTGAATTTGGTCGCGTCTTCCACTCGCGACCGAATTGACCAGAGATTAATTCAAGCACCGGAGAGATGGTTAGACAAGTTTCCTTACCTGGTGCATCTGTTTGCCTGGCAGTAAATATATATGTAGAGGAAAGTTAGGCAACCTTTTTTTTATTACGGCAGCCAGCGGCAGCTACTTTATCGTTCATTCCGTGTTCACTCGAGTAATAGCGTAAAAGGTTCACAGAGGACACAAAGGATCGTTATCGGCTCTCGGTGGATATTTCACATTAACTTACAATCTACACACTTTATAATCAAAATGATAGTTAGTAGCCGGAAGGTCTTGCACTCGCAACAATATATTGCTACACGTGAGATCCCCCAAGAGAAACGCACTTCTCTAATAACATGATTAAACCAAAGGGTTTTATAAAACTCGAAATGTTTGCAAAATATTTGCATAGATATTTGCTGAGAGTTGCAATATACCCAGAGAGTTGTATTGCAGTGCTAAAACCCTTGTAACACATACCTCTTGCATCAACTGCATTAGGCCTTTCACACAAGCTGTCAGAGCAAGGAGAATTCAGCATGTTATCTTTCACTTGATAATCCCCATCACATGGACAAATCTATGTCCAGGGTATGCACATCCATAATAGAACGTGTTTCTATAATACAATCGTGTACAAAAACCGTGCAATTAGTCTTGAGAAATTTTGCATTCTGTTAGCTATCTACAACAGTCGACCAACTCCCGGATACCTACTGTTTCTAATCTACACGTAGAGTAAAAAAAAAAAAAGACGTTTCTACACTACCGAGCATTTATGTTATATATAGCTCAGCGTTGTGGAAACGTCATTAGTATGCCAGTAAACAGTATTCAATAAATGCGCCTACATGAATAGCGTGTAAAAATTGGTGCATTTAACCTGAGGATGGGTTGATGGACGCAGACAAAAGGTTGTTGTCATGGCCTGTGTAGAGAACTACTTGTCTGGCTTACAAAGCGTAAATTACATTACGAAAAAATTATGTCTGACAGCTCGAGCTGTCATCCGGTTGGTCTGTTATAAAACATGGTCATTCCTGGCTGACGAGTGAGCAATGGTTGTCCCAGCCTATCATTAAAACACAGGGCCGTCGGGTTCACATCCGACTTCCTAAACTCCAAATAAACTTTTTTTTTAAATAAGCTATATTGCATTTCAATGAAATTTGCACAGTGGTATTGGGTTACAGGCTTTTTCTTTTCTTTTTTTTTAAGTGTGGCACTGGAGCCGTCGCCGACCGTCATACATGTCCGTCTTGTACCCCACACCCTGCGAAGTTGGGCGAGGCTAGCCCAAAACATCTGGCCTCCAGCCGTAGAAAGGAAAACAAGACTTTCCTATTGATAAATGATATATTGAACCACGTTTTTTTCAGCTAAATAATGATACAGAACAATTATCAATGTGCATATTATATATCACTGCTACTACAAATTTAATTTATTATATTAGTCGAGGTTGCAACTAATTGTATTCCCGAGAATATTTATTGTAATCTGATTAGCTGTCTCTAGATACCTTAGATAGCAATAAGGCTTCATCCAGTTGCCATCCAATACCAAAATTCATACCCTAATGTGTACCAAAAATTAAGCATGCAAGCTTCTATTTCAGAAGAATTGTACAGCCCAAGATAAACTGAACTTAACTAACGAAACAATAGATGAATGATTGGGCATTCATCTTACCATGGCCTAACAACCCTGGTTATTCTTTCACAGGTAACATAGGAGTGACGCACGATGGGTTATCATTCAACCTCATTAATATAGCCAGCAACTGGACGAGTGACTACGCGGGAAGACATGCCCCTTGCCGAGGTGCTGTCGGAAAGCATAAAGGGTTTCTCGGTCCGACAACAGTATACCAGTACATGTCTAATGGCGAAGGTGGCGGGACCCACATTCCTTGGTTACTCCCTGGTTTGCCAGCCACAGTACTTACGTCAATAAGCAGTTCAAATTTAATCCTTCGTTCCTCCGCACCTATTGGAAAATTAGACATGAAAGCCTTAAGGCATATTTCAATTCCTTACAGGGTTGTCTATTAGGTTACATTACCTAGTTGCTTAAATGCATTTTTAATACAATACATCTTTTTGCGATAGCAATAATTTAGCTTCAGCTCCTGGGTCCCACCTTTCAACCATCTGTTCTTTTTCAAAAATTCCTTGGGTTCCATCGTATCTACTTCTGAACCCATATATATAGAGTAGGTTTCTACAACTCCAGTTAATAGTTCATTCTACTCCTTCAGTACTTTACGATCAAGAATTAAAACACGCACTAACGATTATATATTGTACTGCGTTTTCATCTTGCCCTTGACCACAGTCCCACCTCCACAGTCAATCATTAAAGTGCATCTGCGCCAGATCTGTTTAAACATATTGATCCCCAGGACGGAACTTTGGCGGGACGAGTGTTGTGAAAAAAGTGTTCAAGGCGAAGTGGTACTCGCCTGGCGTTTCGCAAGTGGTTTGTCCTGGGTTCGTATCCTGGCAGGGGAGGATTCACTGAGCGTCAATCCTTCATTGTGGCCTCTGTTTACCCAACAGTAAAATGGGTACCTGGTTGTTAAACGATGGTCGTATTCTGGGGAGCATAGGATTAAGGACTTCCCCAAAACGCTATGCGTGCTAGTAGCTGTACTAGAATGTAATAACTCATATATAAATAAAAATGGGACCAGATCTATAAAAATATGTCACGTCAATTGGCTTCTCTCTCTTTCTCTGGTATATCATACAAGTGATTGTATTATAACATGGCTTCACTATGATAGTATCTAATTCAGTAATCTGTTTGCTAGCTATTGTAGCTGTTCTGCATTTTTAGTGTAGTGCATCCTCAGTATACACTGTTCAAATCTCTAATTAAAAGAAACTGCTACCCTTCTTGATAGGAAGAGGTACCCTTATCCTCAGCACTCGGTACCCTTTTATTTTAATCGTGGATATAAAATCGGAGACATATACGCGTTAACTTTGTAACGTCAATTCATTCAATGACCCCGTCGATCATAGGCAAGATAAAAAATAATATATTGAGCTCGCGTATTATAAATGGTCAAGTGAAACGTAATTGGCTAGCATGCAATAAAACATACCACAATTGCCTGCTATTCGTCTCTGAAACTGGATGAACAGAGAACAGTACTGACAACGATGAAAACAGCATTTTATCTCTGGAATTTTCGACTACCATATGTATTTGCATTTTTATTAATTTTCCGGCTTAATTTCGTGTTTATAAAAACACTGATAAGCTTCTGCTGGATCGTGATTCTACTTAAATTTTATTCACAGTTTTAGAACCGAAATATTAAGTTTCAATTTTTAATTAACAAATTTTTGTGGGAATGACATATCCTGTAATATAATTTTGTATGATGATAACACTTATATATTCAACATGTGCAATAAATGAGAGAGGTTATTAAATACGTAATGTTTAGTAATGCAAAACTAAGTTATCGATGCCTTACTCTGTGAGAACTTAAAACTGGAGAGGGAGCAAGAATGGGAGAGGTTAGTTTAGGTTAGTTCAGTTATTATGCACCCAATACCAGTCGTGTGGGCAGTAGTGGAAAAGGTTATAGAGGCACAATGTGCTCAGGGACTGAACCCCACAATTCATTTAGCTAACTAAGCAAGTTACAATCTTGATGAGCTAGTTACAAAATCAATGCACATCGTCACATCAACAATGGGTTCGAGACCGACCACAAGTACAGTTTCTAAATTAAGCAGCTGACATATGAGGAGAGCTAGTGTCACAATTGATATGTTTATCCTGCACACCGCCCCCCCCCCCCTACATACAGTGAGCAGCGGTGCATTATAGGTTACAATCACTTCGTTACTACCTACAGTTAGCAAATTGGGAAGGGGAAAAGAATAACTGTCACCCGGGCGACAGGGGTACCTTAAAAGGTACCTCTTTTAAGGGTAGTATCCATCACTTACTTGGCTTTAATATGCGCTTGCAGATATACATAATTTACTGTCCAACCTACTTAATGTGAGAGCGTCCGGTGGGCTTCCTCGCAAGATATGGGTTCTTCTCCGACGGAACACTGGTAACCAAGATAATCTTGGTTATCAATCTTGGATAATCTTGAGGTTATCTTGTACTACAAGATAACCTCAAGATAACCTCCCTCGCCACCACCGTCCCAGGGCTTTTTGGTTTAGTGTTGGACTTAAAGCCTATCAACCACGGGAGAGTTAATAAAAGCAGCCACAATAGCTTACTAACCACCAGTCTACTTCAACCCCTAAACACTGATCAGGAATAAAGTAAACTGTGTGTACACCGAGAACTACCAGAGTACACACACGCCTCTGTGTGTACTCAGTCCCTGCCACGTCCTCACACACACCCGCAGTCTACCCCTCATGCAGATATACACGACGCAGAAACCAACTAATCGATAGCGAAATAAGCAGTTACACTAAACCGGGGATGATGGTTTGCGTTCCCCAATATACTACAACCAACTGTCATGCTATAATACTCACCGCATGTTCTTCGGGAACCTTGCAATGTAGGTGGGTTGCCTGTCGTGATGCTATAATTGAATGTTGTTGTTGTTGTATGTTGTGGGGGCTGGAGGGGTGGCTTCCTGGCTCAATACACTGTTGTATTTCCTCGTTGCTTTCCGTTAGTCTTGCATGTATTTCGTGGAATATTTCCTCACGCAGAACAAAGGACAGGGTGACGAGAGAGTTGACATCATTGTGAAGAGGGTGTTTTACTGTGGTGAATGGCAGAAGGGTTGGCGTTTAAATTGTCTGGTAATGCATTGATTTTATCGATTAAGCGGTGCATGGTAGTCTGTACACTTCCCAGCAAGTTTCGAGACACTTTTCATATCAGTAACTGTCCAATATAACAGCAGGACCTTCCTATATAAGGATTTTCTTCCGCCAGGATCCACGACCCGAGATTTCGCAGCTAACTTCCAGACCTTCTTGACCGGAGCGGACAGCAACACACATGCGCTCTCTCGGCTCCTAGGCACTACATTTTTACCTTTTTTATTTGGAATATATATATTTATATAAATCAATTGAGTGCTTATATGTTACTTATTGCATTTAAAATATGTAATAAAATGGTGAATGTATTTAAAGTGGCAGTGAAATATTTGTAATAGGAATAAACACATAGGCAAGATTGACTTGCATTTGGCAACACGTGCTGTTTCAGCTCTGTTGTGCGAAGTAGTTGCCAGCTTTTTATTTATAATTATTTGTTTCATGTTGAATTCATATTTTTCAAAGCCTAAAATTATCAAACACATTACTTGTAAAACATTTAACCTTTTCTTGACAAAACCCTTTAAAATTATTTGGATTTGTTATCAAAAGAAAACAAGGACAAGTAATTATTTTATCGTGAAACCTTACATAATTTATGTATCGGTCAACAATGTTAAATTTCGTTCACCTGAGACAAACACAAACAAGCGATACTAAACGAAACAATCTAAAATATTCTAAATAATTGGATACATCATGCAGTTACTTCATGCAGAAATGAGCGGAACTCCAGTGGACCTGAAGCCTTTGTAGCAGCTCAATGTACTATGAGTTTGTATAGTACTCTTGTACTACTGTGTAAAGCTTTAATATGGCTAAAACATTTTGAAATCTTTATACACACATTCACTGAAGTTTCAACAATTGCATCTTTAAAAAAGTGATTTAAAGTTACCTCTCATGATAACGTGAGAGATAGGTTCACCTATAGATTGGTCACCAATAAGAACAACTGTCATTTGCTTGGTCAGTGACTGGGATGCAAGGTGCCGAGGTGTCTACAAGCAACACTTGTGAAGGAGAAAGATAGGAAAATTAGACTGTAAGAACTCTTGTATATATAAATATAAATAAATATAATAAATCACTTTTATGAAGGTCATCACTGACATGCCGTGTGAAGCCTAAACATATATTAGACCTAAAAGATACATATATACAAAGTTGTGCGTGTATTTAGGTGTTTAAATCAGTTGATTTACTGGTATTGAGAAGCACTAAGTGTTTTTAATAATCTCGTTTATGTTATTGATATACGTAATTGACAAAATACTTAATATTTTCATGACAATCCCTAAGTTTTCTGTCCCGTCCCAACATGGGGTGGAAGAAATATAGTGCCGATGCTGACATTCAATAAGACGTTCATTGAGCAGCCCGTCCTCCTAAGGTTTCCTAACGTCAAGAAAACAGTCAATGTAAAGTGAACAAATCACGTTATTGTGATTTCTGTGTGTAAAGTGTCCTCTCCTAACCTACCAGAGGACCCAAAACAGAAAAAGGGATAGTACGTCACTTTCGCGAACCGCTTCCATTTTCTAGTAAGACAAATTTTGCCCTTATGTAACGCATACAAGCGAAGTGACGTTCTTTGTAGGAGGATAGGTTGAACCCGAACTGGGGCTCCCCACCTAATGTGAGATAGGGTAGCTAGGCAAGCGGCCGCCTCCTTAGAGGAAAGCCTTGACGATGAGGGTCGCCATTCTGAGTGGGAGTAAACGGAGCACGAGCATCCGTAGAGTCTTTAAGGTGCCTGTGCATGCGCAAATCGTCAGGGTGGGTATGGTCATCACGGAAGGCAACTATTTGGGCCACCTATAGCGGGGTCAAACAGGTTCTGGAGTGAAGCAGCTGTAGAGGGGAATGTGCACACTCGATGGTGAGGACGACGGCAGAAGGCTCTGTAGTAACCATCAAAGCTTAATTCACTCCAGGTTACGCGGCAGTTAGTCACTACTGCGGACTCAGAGGTCCATCCTGCCAAGGAAGAGGCTGGGAAAGGGAGAGGATCCGAAGGGGCAGGCAAAGACAGCCTGGTCTGGGCCAAGCACAACAGGAGCCCGATCTTCCAAAACAGTTAGAATCAGGGGTGTTTGTTCGTCCATGCCACAAGGTTCAGAAGGAGAAATGTGGTCAAACAAACATAAAAATCGGAATTAGACCATTGCCCTATACCTCAACTCACCACGGAGCCCAGCAAGCAACTTCGGGGGTAACCGAAATAGTATTCATGGATCACCACTGAAGGGCCGAATGGTATCCCAGGGACCAACAGGGACACGAACTTCACAATACCAACTCGACCCGATGTCTAACTAGGCAGGCTAACCCGACAAGCCCGTTGATTCAGATGGGCCATACTAAACCATCCGTTTCTCCTGGATTGCAGCTCCCTCACCTCAAGAAACCACTCACTGTGGGGACTAAGGTCTATAAGGATTGAGACAGCTTGTACTGAAAGCTTACCAGTTGTATGTGAAGGACTTTCTGAGGGGTGGAAATAGACTAAGCTACTCTATCCCTTTGAGATGTATTTTTTCTTGTCTCAATAAACATACTTGAACTTGAAGGGCTTTCTCATTGATACGTCACGTTAATGTGATTTCTTTGTGCATTCTGAACAGTACAGATCGAGTAGGGTACCATATATGTTGTATCCACCCTTTTTTAAAGGTGGCGTGGTGGGAATCTTTTCATCTTACTACCTGACAGATGGAGCAGGGTCTAAGACTTGAGCAAATTTCTGCCTCCCTACATCTATATTTTTTAAGTAAACCTAACCAAAGTTAATTTATCCTGTTAGAGGCCAGACATTTGTTAGCCTCGTGCAACTTTCCATGGTGAATTGTGATTTTATGGCGATTGTCATGAGGGTGGACTCCCATTCCAGTCTTTAACTACGATATGCTTGTCGCGATAACCAACGACTCTCTTAGAAATCTGAAATATGGGTTTGATTGTCCATAGAATGGTTTTTAACTTATTTCTCGGCTGTTACCAATATTGCTGTTGATTCAAAATTACTCGAGCATGTTTTACCCACTCGGAGGGACAAAGGATGCGAGGGAGGGAGAATAAGTGAGATGGAAGGAGAATGGGAGGGATGAAGAATAGAGGGAGAGAAACGGACAGACCCGGGCACCACACTTTAATAAGACAATGTTGTGTTTTATATATGTACAGTATATGGTATGCACAAGGTGTGATATGATAATTTTCTCCCAGCTGAGGTGATACATTCTACTGGACAGAAGTGTAGAGTGAGCAGATGTAATCAGTAACATCAATGGTTTCAGCTTGGACAGCAGGAGTGTGGAGGCCCGATCTTCCAGTCTTCGCTTCTTGATAGGAAATGTTCTCAACTTAACTACCCAGCCGAGTAAACAACCTTTTCCTCACAAGGAAGAACCCATAAAAGGAAGGTGATGGGTGGAGCCTTACAAAGAGCAGTACGAAAGGTATTAAGAGTACCTGGTAGATTTTGTATACAGTTACCTCACTAAAGGTAAAACCCATAATAAACACTAAAAGATAATCTCTGCATTGTAAATTTTAACAGCTATCTTCATATAACCATCAGTCGAGAAGACTGCTAGCTAAATATAACTATAGACTGACTTAAATCAACTTTGTTAATTTTCTGCCCAAGAAATGCAAGATTGCTCTACTTCTTAGTCATTGATCTACAAACTGAACAACCTTTAAGTGTTTATTATTAAATGAAAATAACCATGCTGAATTAGATCTTGCATATACAAGTTCATGACACCCAGTTAAAAGTGCTACAAGCAACTTGCCTTGATTGTATGCATCTCAACTAATCCTTAATAATGTGTCTTTCAAATATGTTCTTACAGTTTGTGTCATTTGTTTTTGTATGTGCCAATCCACGTGGTCAACCTATTTTCATATTAACACTGTTTTTTCTAGTAACTTCTAAAGTTAAAAGTTCAAGAAGTTCAAATTAGAAGCGTCGTGACCCACCACATTGAGGATACTGCATTTGGCTTCATCTAATGAATTTGCTTTAATCTGTTGAAAATTCAGGTGTTCTGCAATAAAACTAAACATTGGACAGTACATTGTTTTATTGAGATTATATAAAGTATAAAGCTGGATTGCTAATATAAAATTTTAACTTTAATTATGAATCATGCGAACCCATTTACAATTTACCTCAAAACCTGAGAGGGCAAAAATGAATTATTCCATAAGTATGACACTTCGAATTGCCTTTCCCTGGTGCATCAGTTCAAAAGCAGAGTTGATTTCATCCAATGGTTTTGTGTAAGTTATAAACTCATCAACCATTATTTTCTTATTCATGTAGTCTTCGACCAGCTTTGGCACACTGTCACGAGACTTCCAACCTGCAGTAAGAAATATTACATTGGTTCTCTTGAATAAATCTTCAGAACAAATTATATTAAGCATATTCTAAATCTTTAACTGAAGTAACTATTTTCATTCAACTTTAATAATAAACCAATAACTAAAATCCAAGGCTGACAAGTGGTATAAATTAAACATTAATAAACTGAATTTATCAATACAATCATCAGCCAGCCTTGCCCACCCACACACTATATCACATCCTGGAATCCTAGTGCACATTAGTGTATTTGTTAAAATAATTTTAATAACTCATTTCTCCTCAACAAATGCTCTGGATATCTTTCCAAACCTAAAACAAAGATGCAATGAAATTTCAAAGTAATAGCATATATAATATAAATTCACTACATTTAATCTCTACAGTATTTCAAATATTTACCTCCAAAGGCTGTTCCTTTCCAGACTCTTCCAGTTACCAGCTGGAATGGTCTAGTGGAGATCTCCTTGCCTGCAGCTGCGACACCAATGATGACGCTCTCACCCCACCCCTTGTGGCATGCCTCCAAGGCAGCACGCATCACATTCACATTACCAATGCACTCAAAAGTGTAATCACATCCACCATCTGTCATGTTGATAAGAACCTCTTGAATGGGAGAAGAATGGTCATTTGGGTTCACAAACTCGGTACAACCAAACTGTTTTCCTGGGAAAAAAATTAGGGCAAGAAACCAATATATTTTGTTTAATATTCTTACGAGTATCCAATTTAATGAGCATATTGTATACATTATGCAGTATATATTCTGGCAAATGTGGGGAAAACAAAATGGAAAATGGAAGTTTCACAATGATAAACTGAAAATTGAAATCAAGGTACACAAAAATTTTAGACTGGTGTCATCTTTGTCATGCATGTTACTGTGCCAAGCTAGTGGCATAGTGTGGAAGTTTTGACAAAGGTCTGGTATGCTTGGTAACAAAGTAAGAAAAACTAGGAAAATTGCAAACCTTGTGAAAGTAGTGCCAGGTATACAAATTTCCTTTGAACTACTGTACCTTGATGAATTTTTTTTTTCCACTAGCATGGATTGGGAGGGCACTTTCCTTGGAAATACACACACTACAAACATTAGTGGCTTCAGGCATTGTACTTGTCTGAAGTACATGGAATCTTGTACTGAAGAAATGCCTGAAGTACAAATTACTGTACTAAAAAACCTACACTGTTGTTGTATCATAAAAGCACAGTTTTGTGCTTTTGTCTAATATAAAAACCATTCACAGTACCCTCCACACTCAACAGTACCTACAGAGAACCAGCACTGCCACTCCAAACCAGCAGCACTACACTGCTTCACAAGAACTTGAAACCAACTCATTCTTTACATTGCTGAATCAATACTGTTACTGTTAATTAACAACTAACAAGAGTAGTCTGAATAGAACAGGTGGGAGCAAACAGATCCATCATCATTTGAACAAAGTGCTTAAACCTATGTTTTATGTTGAACAGTGGGGATAACAGTGGGGCATGATTGCATGCTAACCCCCCCCCCATTATTCATGCAACAATTTAAAACCTATTCTACTGATAGAACAAGTTGTTGAGTACTTACCAAGTTCAAATTTGTCTGGGTTCATGTCAATACCAATGATGCGCTTTGCACCTTGGGTCCTGCAGCCCATAGCAGCAGCCAAGCCAACAGCACCAAGACCAAAGATGGCACATGTAGAGCCAGCTTCCACCTATTTTAAGTAATGTATACTGTACATATAAAATAAGCAATTTATCATTATTTTAACCAAATATACAGTAATTTCATTTGGGTTTGGAAAACACAGATTTGTAAATACCTACCATATATAGTTCATATAACAAACTTTAATGTCTTACACATTAATCACAAGAACTAATGCCAATACTTAAAATATTTAAGAAAAGATCCAGACATTAATAGTCTAGCTATTAAAATCAGCTAAATAATCTCACATGAATCATGTTGTGTAAACTGTTTTTCTACATCTAAATTATTAAAAGATGACCAAGTGCATAACAGCAAATTGTGTTCATGATGCATGAGTACACACAAATATTGTAACTCATCAGATGTATCTAATAAACAAAGTCCTCATTTTATCCAGAAATTTAAAATGAAATCAATCTGAAAGTTACTAATTTATCATGTACAATTTCTTAAATATGTATTCAACTTTGGAAACACAATGCTTATATACTTTGCCATCTCTAAGCAGTAGCTTTTCTTTTGAATACAAATAAACTAAGTTCTTCAAATGTTTCTAAAGCAACAAGTTAAATCTTGAATTTATGAAATAAGCTTCAAATTATAAATGACTTAATTTCTGTTTTTGTCTCTTTTCTGTTTTAATGTCACAAGCAATTTAATTATGTGAAATATTTTTACTACAGAACATATCCATCATTAAACTAGTAAATGTTTTACTTAATATCGGCATATAGTTGTGGTAGTACATAGGCCTACATATTTGACTCTAGTTATTCCACCACAACTTTTCCCTTCCATTGTGCTGAGTGATGGTATTACCAATGTTCAAAGTATGTTATTACACAAAAGCTAATTAAAGTTCTGCTTTAACTTGGTGAATATGTACTATAATGAGTAACTAGTAGAACTCTAATCTTTAACCCTTTAAAAATGTATCAAAAGAGGTACTCTGCCTAGGTGGGAGATTAAAGAACAAAAAAGGAAAGCTATTAAAAAAAATATCCAAATAGCCAATGCCTTGGCCAATGATTACTCAAGAAAAGTCAACTTTATTAAAAGAAAATTAAAATTCATTGTTGCTTAACGTGTGGCAACTTTAAAACACATTACAGTTATTAGTTACCTTAGCAGTGTTGAGAGCTGCACCGTAACCCGTGCTCACACCACAGCCAAGCAAGCACACCTTCTCAATAGGAGCCAATTCACTGACCTGTTGACATGAAAAAACTTTAAAAGCCAAATGCTAAAAGATGCTTATGAATTCCACAGTTATAACGGAACACAAGCCAACAAAATTTTGACAAACGAGTTAAAGGAAATGGTTTGGTATGGGAAGTGCATAGCTGCCAAAGACAAACAAAATTAACAATTCATCATTGCTTAGTCATTGCATATTAAATGGAAAGTCTAGTTTAGACTCTAAAAATTCAACTTATTGGTCAAATATGTTAGATTTACTAATTCAAACTACTTCATGGTTTGATATGCAGATGTTAACATAAAATGTAACAAAACAAAGGTAACATTCTAACTTTACTGATGTCAACTTCTAAAAAACATTGCGATTTACCTTAGCAACAGAAATCTCTGCTACAACTGTGTACTGAGAGAAGGCAGAGCATCCCATGAAGTGATAGATTTCCTTCCCTTTGCAAGTAAAACGTGTGGTTCCATCTGGCATCACACCCTTGCCTTGCGTTGTTCTAATTTTGCCACATAAATTTGTTTTGGGGGACTTGCAGAACTTGCATTCACGACACTGAGGTATGTACAAAGCAATAACGTGATCACCTGAAAATTTTTTAAATCTATAATTCATTAACCATCATGAAAGGTGGCACTTTGCCTGTGCAGCAAAACTAAGGAAAATGATAACACAAATACCTGTGTTTTGGTTGTGTGTATAGGGATGATCTCATTTTGAGGTCTTAATTTGAGAGCTATAAATGCCAAATGCAATGCAAGTACAGTATGAATCCAAGTTTTATATATATATATATATATATATATATATATATATATATATATATATATATATATATATATATATATATATATATATATATATATATAAATATATATAAATATATATATATATATATATATATATATATATATATATATATATATATATATATATATATATATATATATATATATATATATATATATATATATATATATATATATATATATATATATATATATATATATATATATATATATATATATATATATATATATATATATAAATATATATATATATATATATAATATATATATATATATATATATATATATATAAATATATATATATATATATATATATATATATATATATATATATATATATATATATATATATATATATATATATATATATATATATATATAAATATATATATATATATATATATATATATATATATATATATATATATATAAATATATATATATATATATATATAAATATATATATATAAATATATATATATATATATATATATATAAATATATATATATAAATATATATATATATATATATAAATATATATATATAAATATATATATATATATATATATATATATATATATATATAACTTGGATTCATACTGTACTTGCATTGCATTTGGCATTTATAGCTCTCAAATTATATATATATATATATATATATATATATATATACTGTATATATAATTATTTTGCCTGTGGTATTTGTTATTTTCCATTAACAGGCTCAATTAATGTCTTTCCTATTGCAAATGAAGACTGTTAGATATGCTATAAAGCGAGCACTATAATTTAATGACTAAACCAAACGTTTTCAATATTTATATTTGAATTTAATAACTGTACCAAACTCAAACTTGCCTTCTTTCACAGAGGTGACGCCCTCTCCAACACTTTCCACAATGCCACCTCCCTCATGTCCAAGGATGACTGGGAATATTCCCTCAGGGTCATGACCATCCAGAGTGTAAGCATCAGTATGACAAACTCCAGTTGCCAATATCTAAACAAAATTAAGATTTTAATAAGTTTCCACCAAGATATTAATACATAATTGTAAAGATGCATTACGAAACAGTTATTTAATTACCTTGTTCCAATTATGTGTCAAATTTAATTTTACCAACATTAATTTTGTAACATGATGCAGTACTATACTATGATGTGCATCATTTCAAATAACATGCTTCACAAACAAGTGAAACGACTATGTGGTGGGCAGACCACCCTCTTTAACAGTATACAATGTATACTATCACTGATTTCCTCAAGTATCTAATGATATTTAGTTCTGATAACATCTGGGATATAAAAACATTATAATAATAATAGGTGTTGAAACTGTTAGCATTCCCAAAGTAAAAAGCAAAGAGGTGTGATTACAATTAGCTTAAAGTAATGATTACATGGGAAACCAAACTAACCATTTTACTTAAGTCAACTTGTAATGTATTTTGGCATGCCACTACTATAAATGCCAAGAATTTCAAATACTTAACTGCACCAGTTTCAGATATAATTTTTTCCTGGGATTACAGAGATTAATGGTCTTATTGATCCTTACATTTTAGGGCTTTATTCATCCAATGTTTGCATGATGACATTAAAAAAAAGTATATTAATTTGATTCAGCAAGTACAGTATATACAGAATACCCGTACATGACATATGTACAGGAAACACTTATGATAGTTTAAAAAATCCAAGTGCATATGAAATTTGCTTGTATTTTTAAATGCTTCACAATCTCTTACAAGTGTCTTTATAAATTATTTTTAATAAATTTTAAACTTTTGGCAATTTTGGCTGTTTAAGTTCAGGGATTTAATTTTCTATGTTTCGCTAAATTTGTGAAAGTATAGTACAGTATTGTATGGTGAATAATCCATTTTACTTTACCTTTATGCGGACTTCTCCAGCTTTTGGAGGAGCAACCTCTACATCCTCCAAAGTCAGTGGTTTCTCCTTTTCCCACGCAACAGCTGCTTTACACTTTATAACCTGGAAGAATATAAAATATGTTAATACTGAATCAATTTTATTTCAATACCTTATGTTATGATTCTGCCTTATGGGGGACGCCAGGGTGACTGCCTTATGACATATTTTTGCACAAGTTTGTGCATTGAATTTTGGGAACGTTCGAATGATTATTATTTATGAACAGGCCATAAAGCACTTCACCTAACAAGTCAAATTTTCATTATAGGCCTAGACAAGAAACTGCCAGTATGACTAACTCATTTCTAGGGGGGTGAACTTGGTGTTCTGTAGATGAGCTTATAGCTAGTTATTAATCTACACTATGTAATCTTTTATATAGAATATGGTAGCAGTACATTGCTGTGTATACCTAAGCTTTTAAAAGAAAAAACTAAGAACTGTTGACATCGAAAACAAAATTACTAGCAAACAAGTTAATACCAATCATGCCAACACAAAACTAACAAAACTCTTGACAGTGTAGCATGATCAAGTTGACAAAACTCTTGACAGTGTAGCATGATCAAGTTGACAAAACTCTTGACAGTGTGGCATGATCACGTTGACAAAACTCTTGACAGTGTGGCATGATCACGTTGACAAAACTCTTGACAGTGTAGCATGATCACGTTGACAAAACTCTTGACAGTGTGGCATGATCACGTTGACAAAACTCTTGACAGTGTAGCATGATCACGTTGACAAAACTCTTGACAGTGTAGCATGATCACGTTGACAAAACTCTTGACAGTGTAGCATGATCACGTTGACAAAACTCTTGACAGTGTAGCAAGATCACCTTAACCTTTAACACTGATAAGACACATGTCAAACAAGCCGGCTACATCACCCACACTACTGCATGTTTCACCAAGACAAGAACTATAGGTGACAACAGTCGTCTCGATCATCATCATGGTAGTATCCCCAGGCTTACAACTAAGAAACACCCAGTATCCTGGTCACAAACTAATAAATAAGGCTACAGACCTGGCCCTTGGTTGCTGCCATGGCGCCTCGTCTCTCTCCTCACAAGTCACTGGCGACGCCTCGGCAGGGTTGCCAGATTCAAATTGCTAAAAGTAGCGAATTTGTAATAAGAGTAGCCCAATTTTTTGTTAATATGTTTATTTTTGATGTGTGTATATGTATGTATTAACACGCTGTACTGAATGGGGTGAGAATAGCTTGAGCTACCTCATCCCTTTGTGTGTATTTTACCTCAATAAACTTATTTCAATTTCAATTTCAATTTTTTGTTTAGTGACTGATACGGGTTTCAAAGTAATCTATTATGATATATAGAGCACATTAAACGATTTTAATTATTTTATTAACATTATCTCTGCATATATATATATATATATATATATATATATATATATATATATATATATATATATATATATATATATATATATATATATATATATATGCGAACAAGCCTGAATGGTCCCCAGGACATTGTTCGCATTTGTGTTCCTCACGTGTACCCCAAAGAATGAGGTGATTTGGTAAAATGCTATGCCCAAGATTACTATCCGAGTGCCGGCGGTGGGGTGGTTAAAATAGCCTCGGCTATCACCTCATTTTGTCCGGTCGTGATGGTCAAGTGGATTAAGGCGTCTTGTACATACCAGTTGCGTTGCTTCTGGGAGTATGGGTTCGAGTCACTTCTGGGGTGTGAGTTTTCAGTTATATATATATATATATATATATATATATATATATATATATATATATATATATATATATATATATATATATATATATATTTAACCAATATGATAATAGGATAACTTACCAATATTTACTGTTTGAAGCTTAATGGGTGTGGAGTCCTTCCACGTCTTTAGAGTTGAAGATTACCAAGATCTTGATCTGCATCCACAACCTCGTTCTTGTATATTGCAGACTCATATTTAAGCATTGACATGAGTGGTTCAAATGACAAGCAACAAGTTACATTTTCTTCAAGATAGGTTTTGATTCTCAAGACTGATGTCAAAAGCTCAAATCCCATTCCCATTCAAGATCTCTCAATTTAGTTTTCACAGACGTTACTCTCGAAAATATCCGTTCAACCAGGGCATTACTGATTGGCAAGCTGTATATTTTCAACACAAACTCAGCGAGGTCAATCAGTATGGGATCACCAGCAGTGTTCTTGACAGTTATTGTCTTGGTCTAAAATGACGATTCAGATGTCGGAATTTGTCCCTTACAAATGTTGGACTAGTCAATGGTTAACAGTAGGCGCCACTGACTTTCAATTTCACTAAGCTTAGATTGGTCAGCTAATACTAACGGAAGTTCCGAAAATGGTGGCCATGTAAGCTAAGGCATATGATAGGTCACAGGTTTTTCACCTTTTTTTATAGTTTCAACATTACTTAGAATACGAGAAAGAAGCTATTTGCAAGCTTTCATTAAAAAATTATCCCATCTTTCTTGAACATTTTGAAACTTTTTCTGGGATGTAAAATTGTTTTGTCTGTTAGTGGCCAAACCTAGATTCAGGAAGCTCGGATTACCTTGCCTTGCGGTTACTTTTTCTTTCCAAGGTTCCTAGGATCAGCGCCCCCAGGGGCCGGTCTCTGACCAGGGCTCTCCTGCGGCAAGTGGTCTAGTCAATCAGGCTGTTTGACTCGGCTGTGATTTGTGCAGATTATATTCTTAAAGCATAAATAATCATCATTGAGTTTCTTAATATTAATAGCCCAACTTGCGTTTAAACTAGCCCAAAAAGTCGCAAGTAGCGAAATTAAAAACTTAGATTCTTAGAAAAACTTAGAAAAAGGGAACGTGGGGCTCTCAAAAGTAGCCCAATTCGCTACTTGTAGCCCAATCTGGCACCCCTGTATCTGACTCTGCGCCTATTTTCATTTTCAAATTACGACTTTTTACACCGAAAATATGCCAATTACTGAAAACGGCGATGGGTCATATTTTGCCCAAACCCCCTTGCAGTTTTCAAAATATCTGAAATGTCCGAAATTTGACTCCTGAGCGTGATTTTTGAGCCGAATTCTGACTCTCTGCACCTATTTTCATTTTCAAATTATTACTTTTTACACCGAAAATATGCCAGTTACTGAAAACGGCGATGGGTCATATTTTGCCCAAACCCCCCTGCGGTTTTCAAAATATCTGAAATGTTGGAAATTTGACTCCTGAACGTGATTTTTTAGCCGAATTCTGACTCTCTGCACCTATTTTCATTTTCAAATTACGAATTTTTATACCGAAAATATGCCAATTACTGAAAACGGCGATGGGTCATATTTTGCCCAAACCCCCTTGCAGTTTTCAAAATATCTGAAATGTCGGAAATTTGACTCCTGAGTGTGATTTTTGAGCCGAATTCTAACTCTCTGCACGTATTTTCATTTTCAAATTACGAATTTTTATACCGAAAATATGCCAATTACTGAAAACGGCGATGGGTCATATTTTGCCCAAACCCCCCTGCAGTTTTCAAAATATCTGAGATGTCGGAAATTTGACTACTGAGTGTGATTTTTGAGCCGAATTCTGACTCTCTGCACCTATTTTCATTTTCAAATTACAAATTTTTATACCGAAAATATGCCAATTACTGAAAACGGCGATGGGTCATATTTTGCCCAAACCCCCCTGCAGTTTTCAAAATATCTGAAATGTCGGAAATTTGACTCCTGAGCGTGATTTTTGAGCCGAATTCTGACTCTTTGCACCTATTTTCATTTTCAAATATTACGCTTAACTACTTGGGCTGGACGGTAGAGCGACGGTCTCGTTTCCTACAGGTCCGCGTTCAATCCCCGACTGCTCAAGAGGTTGGGCACCATTCCTTTTCCCCGCTCCATCCCAAATCCGTATCCTGATCCCTTCCGATTGCTATATAGTCGTAATGGCTTGGCGCTTTCACTTGATAGTTCCCCACCCCCCCTGAATAATATTACGAGTTTTTTAGTTTAGTTCATTTATTATGCACCCCATACCCATCTTGTGGGCGGTAGTGGAAAGGGTTACAGAGGCACATAATGGGCTCAGGGACTGAACCCCACAATTCATTTAGCTAAGCAAGTTACAATCTTGATGAGCTAGTTACAAAATTCAATATAAGTCATCACATCAACAATGGGTTCGAGATCGACCTCAAGTACAGGTTCTAAATTAAGCAACTGACATATGTGGAGAGCTAGTGTCAAAATTTTTATGTTTGTCCTGCACACCGCCCCCCATCCAGTGGGCAGCGGTGGATAGGTTACAATCACTTAGTTACTACCTACAGTTAGCAAACTGGGGATATTTGGCTAAAATTTCTGGTAGCAGATCATTTTGAATGAAATATTGACACATCGCTGGAACATTGGTTATAGAATTGTCTCTAAATTCACGTATCTTTTCGCACTCCATCACATAGTGACGGAGGGTGTGCGAATAATTTTGTTGACACAGTTTACATTTGGTCAGGTCTACATCAGCAGATAATGAGAATTCCCAGAGATACTTGTAACCGAGTCTAAGCCGAGCAGTAGTAACATCTAGAAGTCTGCTGATTTTATTGGATGATCCATAGATGTGTGGCTCCTCTTGCATGACAGTATGATGATAGATGGAATTACTGGTGTCAATTTCACTTTGCCTCAGATCTACAAGATCTTGTTGAAGTTCTCGGTGTACAGCTGCTCTCAGATTGCTCATTGACAATCCCATATTACGAGATCAGTATTTACGGGCAATTCATGCCCGTGCATGAATATGCATCTTGGGTGGCTTAATCATCATTAATCGAGAGCAGTATGTCCTAACCAGACATTATATGATGATATCCTGAACAGTTGATAAATAAAAGTAATTGCGGAACTCGTTATCTAATACTTATCATAAATGGTATAAAACCTTATCATAAGCCAAGGGATTTGTAGATCAGTGTTTAAAGGGAATGCGGAAGTAATAATAACAGCTGATGCCATCTGTCGGCAGAAGAGAACACTATCAACTGGCTGGTCAACAGTGGCCATAAGATACAGCTTACGCCATCTGTTGACATCAAATTACACTTATAACAAATTACCCCACAAAATACAACTAACGCCATCTCTTTTTTTTCCAACGCACTATAAATAGCCAAACAGCAACCCATAAGGTGGGTTGTTGTGCTCGGGTAGGAGGTTCCAAGTTCCGCCCACAGATGGTATGGGATGCATAATAAATGGCATATCATTGGTAATATTCTTTGTTGACATTCACACAACAGCCAATCACAGGAAGGGATCAGCTAAAGGCTCCATCCACTTAATAAATCATCTTTATTCAGCACACCATCCTTGCTTATGACATTCTGCTTCAACTTTAATCTACCTAAAAAGTGAAATGTTAAGTATGTAAAAATATTAATATAGTGATAATTAAATACTGCAGGACGTAACGGGTGTTACAGAAACATGGGCTGGCTACCTAACTTGAGACGTTATTATTGGGGGTTGCCTTGACACAAATAATGATACTCTGCTCTGCCCTCTTATTCGAGTAAATTATTCAGTTAGATGGAGATTTCTGTCAGGTGCAAAACAGAAATTGTTGTTCTTTTTCACAACAACCTTGTTGTTGTGCACAAGGACCTATTTCTTAGTTTAAATTTTATTCATAAAAGAGTGTTGGTATTCCATGCAACAGCTAATCACAGGAAGGTATTTCTGGAAGCTTGGCCTCCTTATGGACTCAGCACATCGCTCTAGCTCATGGCTCTCTGTTTCATCTCTTGTATATACAAACTATGACTTTTTTCGATTACTGTTATAATTAATAATATGAGATATAAAAGTTTTTGCACAATATGGCTAAATTCTGCCATTAAATGGACTTTGTCTGGTATACATACAAACATACACCAATTTATTACAATTCATCCATTATTAATTTCAAATGAAATGTATACTGTCTAGTTTTTTCCTCTCGCCATTACTTGGTGCAATATTTGAAAGTTGTCTATTTATTTATCGATCTATCTATTATCTTGTATTTATATTTACAAGTTTCTGTGCTTGGAAGAAAACTCTACATTGAATTGGGACTTATTTATTAAATAATTTTAATTAATATTAATTAATATTTACAATTATTATTAATTACAATTATTTATAGCTTAGTTACTTTCATGTAACTCGCAATTGTACATTCTTAACATTAATAGCCCAAATTAGCACATCTTGCTTTTAAATTAGTCTAAAAAGTAGCAAGTATCGAAATAAAAAAAATTGGGAGCGCGGGGCTCTCAAAAGTAGCCCAATCTGGCAACGCTGCCGCATCATTGGGTGGGGTGGGGGGGGGGGGGGCTCTGCCAGATTGGGCTGCAAGTAGCGAATTAGGCTACTTTTGAGAGCCCGCGCTCCCAAATTTTTAATTTCGCTACTTGCTACTTTTTGGGCTAATTTAAAAGCAAGTTAGGCTAATTTGGGCTGCAGTTAAGCAACTCAATGATGATTACTTATGGTCAGATGCAACACAAACAAGCACCCTGCGATAGCAGTCGCAGACTGACAATTTAAATGCGAGTCCAGCACGCAGTGTATCATTTTACGACCAAAGATCACATTCACTATAAAAAAAATCTTCCTCTTACGGGCTATTCATGCCCGTGCCACCTCTTGGGTAGCTTAATCTTCATCAATCAATCACAAACAAGGAACAACGATTTCAAGTTCAACAAGCCACAACTTAAGACAGAAAACAGAAGATTTCTTTTCACCCATGTGGGGCATAACAATGCACAACTACCAAATCATCAACATTATCTTGGAGTCAGAATCCATCAATCACTGACAGTTGTACAACAAGTGGAAGCTGCAGTTATAAAAGCAAACCAAATCCTTTGGAATAGTCAAACGAAATTTTAACGAAGGAAAAGGTAGTTATACAACTGTATAAATCTCTGGTGTACTTCCACTTGAGTATTATATCCACGCATTGAGACCTCATCTTCAGAAAGACATATCCGCTTTGGAGAAAGTTCAACACCAGGCGAATAAAATCTTTTCCGAACTAAGTCGACTTCCATACCAGAGACGGTTGAGGGCCACAGGGACCAGACATGACAGGGCTGCTCTCAGCAAAACTTTTAAATTACTGATCAATTTGGAAGATATTGACCCAGAACACTTCTTCAAAAGGCTAGATATAAGACGAACAAGGAGCAACGGTTTCGAGCTCAACAAGCCACACTGAAGGATGGAAAATATTTGTTTTCTCCTATAGAATTATACAGTTGTGGAAACGCATACCCGCCGAAGCCGTAAATGCCAAAACATTGGAATTTGTTTGGCCCCAAAACAAATGGGAGGGGCCTTCGACAAGCCAGACAACCTTCCTGTCCTCGTCGAGACCACTAGAGAGAGATATCTGAATTTGCCCGAGGGCCACCCTCGAGTAAATTCAGCAAAACCATAGAACCACCACCTCGACGAAGCCGTAAATGATAAAACATTGCTCGATGAAATCATCAGGGCAAATAGGGGACATTTGACAAGCCGTCGGCTTCCTATCCTCACTGAGATAGTGACCCTCTGGTAAATTCAGGTAAATCTTAGCTAATTAAATAATCCTGAAAAGTTTGCATATTGAAGGCAGTGCTGTGTTAGCAGCATTATACTCTCTGAGCAAAGCAATGCACTGTTGCCCTCCAACCCAGATGATGGGCACTGGGGCCCATGTCTGTGGACCTATACTTACAACCACGTTCTCGTCTGTGGACCCTCCCTAGTTTGGTACGGCTCTCAGTGTGCTTGGTAGAGTTAGGAGGGTGTTTGTCTGGTTAGGTGAGGTGTTTGTTGACCAAACCACACACTAGAAAGTGAAGGGACGACGACGTTTCGGTCCGTCTTGGACCATTCTCAAGTCAATTGTGCATTCTCACAATCGACTTGAGAATGGTCCAGGACGGACCGAAACGTCGTCGCCTCTTCACTTTCTAGTGTGTGGTTTGGTCAACATATTTCAGCAACGTTGTTGAGACTCCTCGTCTGCAGGTGTTTGTTTGCTAGGTGTGTAGGTACACAACTGGTCGGGTTCTGGTTACACTCAGACACGAGACGACTCGGCTAAACTCATTTTCTGTTTTAAATCCGGATGTATTGTTATGCTAGGCTGTATTAGGCTATGTTATTAAGGTTAGGTTGCATTGGGCTCGGTTGGATTAGATTGGTTTGATTTGGGTTACGTTAGGTTTGGTTGAGCTAGGTTAGTAAGGTTTCAAAATTCAAAATTCCACTACGCCACGGAGCAGTCTCTGTGGCGCAGTGGTAAAGCATGCACCCGGCTCTTCGCCAGCCCTTTGACCTGAGGCTTAGGGTCCTCGTAGGCATATCCCTGAAAAAAAATATCACACATCCAAACAATTTGATGTGGTGCATTACTTATTTCCTTATTTCTATAGTTCAAGTTCAAGTAAGTTTATTGAGAGAAGAAAAAAAATACATCTCAAAGGGATAGAGTAGCTTAGACTATTTCTACCCCCTCTACTTCAAGTCCCTCAAGGGGCGCACAAATTCAGTGAGTACAAATACACAAATCACAATACGGTACAAGAATCCCATTAAACATTGCAGGTTAATATAGTAAGCACAGCATATAAGTGTTACACTCTTGGGGCAAAATTATTGCCCGAGGGGAACCACCGCCTCAGTCTGTCATCAAACATTGTAAACATGGCAGAGTATCTGGCATCGATTTTCGGCACCGAAAAGGATAAGTAAGAAATAGTACAGATAATTGTTAGTTATTGGTGTCTGTGTAATGCCCAGTTTCGCAGTTTGATCTCAGAAACAGTATTGATAAGATAAGCAATTGTAGATCCCAGGTGAAGTCGAAGTAGCGTAAATGAGGGCCGTCAGTGTTACAGTAATTTTTTTTTTAAACTGTAACCCAGAAAGAACAGCCTAACCTGTGAACGTAAATGTAACATAATTAGCTAGCCAACTCACCAGGACATTAGGGATTTCATTTGTATTTGTTTAAATCCCTTACCAGAAGTTTATAATTGATCATATAACAGTGTTCATGGAAATGTATTTTCTTGAAAAGTCACTGATGCACATAATAATTATAATACAGTAATAATAATAATGTTTATTCAAGGAAACACATACAAAATGAGTTACAAACAGAATGTTGGATTTCTAGATAGAGCTAGTACATACTATGGCTCAAGCCACTAATACGCACAGCGTTGCACAGCATGTATAATCATTTCTGACAAGCCTTAAAGTAAACAAAATATTTTAGGTATACATTAATAATATGTAGTGATTTGTAAGCAACAGGACATAGTTAAAATACTTAAAACAAGTGATCAAGGTGTACATTGAGACTGCCATAATGTACTGTAATTTTAAAGTTTAATAGAAGTATAGTCAGTTTTAAATTAATTATAACTAGACCTAGTTGACATAGTTAATGTTTGAAAGTTATATTTATTGAATTACATGTTAGACAGCACAGTATGAGGTGAATACTTGAGAGTAGGTTTGGCGTACTATTGGGAGAAAATTAGATTCTTTGCTTAAATTTTGAATATTGTATATATTTAGCACTTCCTTTCTTCATTAGGAAGGGAATCCCATATTTTAGGTTATCATGTTTGCATGGCCTGCTTGCATAGAGTCAGCCTTGAGAAATGTTAAATAGTGTAGTAGTAAGTAATATTATTGTAGTAATATTATAACAGTACCTGTAAGTAATATTATCCGTGGCACAGTGGTAAGATACTCGTGGCGCAGTGGTAAGATACTCGCCTGGCGTTTCGCAAGCGCCTTGCCTTGGGTTCGAATCCTGGCCGGGGAGGATTGACTGGGCGCCAATCCTTAACTGTAGCCTCTGTTCACCCAGCAGTGAATGGGTACCTGGTTGTTAAACGATTCGGCGGGGTCGTATTCCGGGGAAATTAGGGTTAAGGACCTGCCCGAAACGCTACGCGTACTAGTGGCTTTACACGAATGTAAAACTCTTGTATGTAAATAAGTAGTGGGTTCTTACAAATATAAAGACCCATGTTTTAACATCATGATGATAGAATGAAAGAAACTTGGCAATAAATAACTTTTCAGCATTTTAGAAGTTTAGGGGAGAATGTTTTCAGGTAATAGTGATTGTTCAAATTTGTGGATTAATTTAAGTATTGTAATTTAAATTGCTTGAGTAAATTTCATAAATCTGTGTTGATGAACATAGGTTAGGGTGGCAAACAGGAACCTTTCATAGTTACTAGATGGCTATTAATAATATTCTGTCATGTTTTAAAATATAAGAAATTCAGAATGAGTTTCAGTACTTGCTTGTACATTACTGTATAAGCAAGTACTGTAGATACAGCATTTATTCTTTCTGTGAAAAATGGAGGATGAATATTTTTAAGTGTATTGTATTTCTGTATTGTTACATATTGCATTTAGTATCTACTGAGATACAGAATGTTATAACATCATTCTTCTGCTTGAATAAGATTGTCAATGCAAGTTAAAGATCTTCCCATACTATTTAGGAATGTGACAGTGCCTAATTAAAATAAAAACGGTTTAGATTAAGAAAAGGTTTGGCCTGTTTATTGAGTTTACATTCTTACACTGTATGCCAGTAAATAGAAAGATTGGTTTATATATAAAAAAGGTTCAATATTTTAACCCAGTATTAATGGCAAAAATACAGTACATTAATATTCATATGTTTTTCTTGATAAATCTTGTATTTCAGAGTGAACTGTAGCTTCTACTTCAAAATAGGAGCATGTCGTCATGGAGATCGCTGTTCAAGAATTCACAACAAGCCAACATTTAGTCAGGTAATTGTCTCTAGAGTACATTTTAAGCCAATGTATAATGTCTTATTTTGGGATCTACAAATGAGACAGATTTGAGTACTTCTTAATTTTTGTATTTTTTCCTTACATTTCTATTTTTTTTTTTACATTTCTGATGTTGCAAGTAGAACTTCTTTTTGTTTCAGGAAATGATTTGCCAAGTTCCATCTATACAAAGATGATCTCATTTAGAGAAGTAATTTTACTGATAATTATACAAAAAATATGTGTTACAGTAAATCATTAATTGTAAATTAATAAAAGTTCCCTTGGTTATTTTTCCAGTCAGCTATCAGTAAAATTTGGTAAACATTAAAAGTGTTACATCTGTTACTAAACTTAAAAAAATGTTTGAATCTGAACATGATTAGATTTTATCCCTAGATGAGTCATGCTGATTATCCTATGCGGGATTTTGTCATCATTAAGTACTAACTGGTAGCACAAGCGTTAGTTGTTTTTTCCCTTCTCTCCTCCCCTTTTGTGTGATCCACTGAGTTGTGTCTTTGTCTTTTTATCTAGCCATGTATGATCACTCTGAGCCCAGGTTATCATACCCATGCAGCAAACTCAGCACCAATACGCACATACACTTGGTAGAGTGAAAGATGGGTTAGTATACCTTTGTTATTTACTTTTGTGCCACATTTGGTAGCAATAATGGTTATTTGCAGCTGTATATATATATAATATATATATATATATATATATATATATATATATATATATATATATATATATATATATATATATATATATATATATATATATATATATATATATATATATATATATATATATATATATATATATATATATATATATATATATATATATATGCATATATATATATATATATATATATATATATATATATATATATATGCATATATATATATATATATGCATATATATTTATGCATATATATATATATGCATATATATATATATATATATATATATATATATATATATATATATATATATATATATATATATATATATATATATAAAAATATACCAAGAGGGGGAGAATTCAACAAGTTCGGTTTTAATAAACAGTTTAATAGGAACAAATGAACCAAGACCATAAATATGCTGAGAAAGACAACTAGGTAATGCAAAGTTCAACTAGTGTTTTGAGAAAATAGGCACAATAGCATTAGATTATGTTCAATTCACACCACTCAGGAGAAAGAGAAAAAGATGCAAACTAGAATGAGAATTGAGTTCTCTTTAGGCAAAGAAAACAAGTAGCAGAACATCTCAAACGCTACACTTCATCCCAAGAACGACAAAGAAGGCTAAGTAGAGAAACAGAAACGATAGAGTTAAAGTAGCAAGAATCATATGAAATCCAGGAGAGGCAAAGAGAGCAAAAGGCCATAAGTGAAATAGAGAGGAATCCAAGATACTTTTCTTCTATGCAAAATCTAGAACAAAAACTATATTCAAGTATTGGGCCCTTGTGCAAGGGGTGATGGAACTTTCATAGATGACAACAAAGAAATTATTGAAATACTGAGAAAAGTACGATTCTCTTTTTCAGTAAATCTCTGAACACATTGAAGGTCAATGACCCAAACCGATTCTTTATGAATGTAATACCACCATTGAACCATATGTCACATGTCACCCCTAACCTCACTAGACTTTGAAGTAGCCAGAGCATGGTCTTGCATTCTGCACCAAGTCTGGACTCCTGGAATTCTATGTTCATCAAGAATTGCAAAGAATAACTATCACAGATCTTAAACATCTTTTGGAGATGGAGCCTCGATACTGGTGTTAACCTCCCGACATACTAGTACTGTATTTAAACAGTGTAGATTGTTCACTTCACAAAGGAGGTAGTAAAGCAGATGCAAATAAATAATGAACCAATAGCTCTAATATCACATATCATAAAAATCTTTGAAAGAGTTATAAAAAATAAGTTTACAAAACACACAGATATCTACTTAACCCTGGCAACATGGGATGAAAAACACGAATTTTTCATGGAAAGAAAAACAGAATGCAGATGTGGTATACACGAACTTTGCAACGGCATTCGATAAATGTTTCCCTGGAGTGATAACACATAAAATGAGATCATTGAGAATAACTGGTAAAGTAGGATGGTGGATACTCAATTTTCTGTTGAACAGAACACAGAGTAACAGTCAACCATATAAAATAGAGTCCAAGGGCAGTTAAAAGCTCTGTACATCATGGTACAGTCCTTGCACCACTTTTCCTTATTCTCATATCAGATATAGACAAAAATACAAGTCACAGCTTCATATCATCCTTTACAGATGACACAAAAGTCAGCATGAAAATTACCTCTATTGAAGACATTGAAAAACAACAAGCAGATATTAATAAAGTTTTTGACTGAGCAGTAGAAAACAACTTGATGTTAAACAGTGATAAATTCCAGGTACTCAGGTACAGTAAAAATGAGGACCTTAAACATAATACAGGGTACAAAACACAATCTTATCTTCCCATAGTAGGAAAGCAGCATGTAAAGGCTTTGGGAATAATGTCTGACAACCTAACATTTAGGGAGCATAACCAAGCAAATATTGCGTCAGCCAGAAAAATGATAGGATGGATTACGAGGATTACCAAATTACGATAGGATTTGGATTACTTTCAAATCCAGGGATCCTTTCACAATGGTTATACTGTACTATTCAAATCACTTGTGCTATTCCGGCTTGAGTACTGCTCAGTACTCACTTCCCCGTCTGAGAGATTGGTGAAATAGAGGGAATACAGAGAACATGTATGGCATACATAGACATGATAAAGCACCAAAATTATTGGGATCATCTCAAAGCTCTCAAAATGTACTCACTAGAGAGGAGATGAGAGAAATATCAAATAATATAAACGTGGAAAATACTGGAGGGCCAAGTCCCAAATCTACACATTAAAATAACATACAGGCATGAATGATATGGAAGAAAATGCAGAATAGAAGCAGTGAAGAAGAGGGGTGCCATAGGCTCAGTCAGAGAGCACTGTATAAACATTAGAGGTCCACACTTGTTGAACATACTCCCAGTGAGTATAAGAAATATTGCCTGAACAACCATGGGCATCTTCAAGAGAAAACTAGATAGTTTTCTTCAAGAAGTGCCGGACCAACCAGGCTGTGGTGGATATGTGGGCCTGCAGGCCCACATATTCTGTTAGACCAAGCTCTCACAAGTCAAGCCTGGCCTCGGGCCAGGCTTGGGGAGTAGAAGAACTCCCAGAACTTCATCAAGAAGGTATCAAGCAGGTATAGGTTCAAGACAGGGTGCTCATGCCTCTCTCAATTGCTAGACCAGTATAACGTGGAAGACAAGCAAGACTAATGTAATATCCACAAATTTTATAAAAGCTTTTGACAAATGGTGTTATTGCACACAAAATGTGTACAATAGGAATTACTGTAATGGCAAAGTAGGGAGTTGGATCTTTAAGTTCCTAATAAGCAGAGCCTAGACTGTAATAGTCAACTAAGTAAAATCTGGGTCATCCATAGTGAAAAACTCAGTCCCCCCAAAGTACTGTGCATGCTCCATTACTTTTTCCAAAGTCTCATATCAGACTTTGACAAGGATGCAAACTATACTATGGAATCATCCTTTGTAGTTGACACTTGGATTTTCATGAGAATAGACAATACTGTACTGATATAGAGGACACAACAAACCTCCAATCTGATGTTACTCAAGTCTTTCAATGGTCCACAGAAAAAATATGATGTTTAATGAGGATAAGATCCAGTTACTGCACTTGGGAAACAAAATTAAATATCAAAACAGAAACCACAAAGTACTGCACTCCAACATGCTACTGAAGGAAAAAGCAGTGTAAAAGGTTTATTAGTAATAATGTCAGAAGACCTTACTATAAAGAACTGAACAGCGTAACTGTCACAACTGCAAGAAAAATGACAAGAAGGGTAACAAGAACTTTTCAAACAGTTGCCACACCAATGATAATTTTTAAGACACTCATGATCTCTTGTGGAATATTGTTGCATGCTAACAGCTCACATTCAAAGCTGGAGAAATTGCTAACCTGGTGAGTGTGCAAAGCTCTTTTACTGCTAGAATCCACTTAATAAACCATCTAAATTATTGGGGCTGCTTAAAATTTGTAAATATGTATTCCCTAGAGTGCAGGCAGAAGAGGTATATGATAATTTAGGTTTGGAAAATAGTAGGAGGACTGATTCCAAATCTGCATACAGATTCTACACAAGACCAGAAGGTATGGCAGGATGTGTAAAATAGTCCTATTGAAAAGCAGAAGTACAATAGACATGCTAACATCCGTGACCTCTGCTGACAATGTTCCTGCATATTTCTGAAGAGTTGCGCTATAGTTATAAAGTGAACAGAAGTTTACAAAGATTTTAAATTTGACAATGGTAAAATGTATCATTGAACTGCTATAGTGAAAGTGTCAAAATGCAAACAAGCCAACATTTGTAAGGAAAGGAAATGATTATTCCAGTTATAAGGCAAAATCACAGAGTGCAGTACTGTATCAGGTGTTTTATTTAGTGAATAAATGTTTCAACCAAATATAAAGGGCATATCAGCTAACACAGTCTTTTTTCTAAATCCTGTTAAATTAAAACAAATTAATTTACCTTGCTAGTAGCTCTATAACTTTATATTCTACATTCATTCTCTTAACATACTGTATAATAGTGAGGCATGGAGCAGTTTGATTCAAATACAGTACTCATAATAAAGGAAACTCTAGGAAATGAATTTTATTAGATGAAGTGATGTACATTAATTGTTAGTAAATATGATTTGTGTTACTGAACATGATGAGCAAGGTAAAAAAAAAATACATCGAGAAGTAGTTTGGAATAAGTTTGAATGCTTAACAAGAAATTTATATTTTTAATGGCCTTTAAGTCTCATGTATTTATATTCCATTTATACTTTAATTTAGGTATGTTAGAATAGCTAATGTACCTA